CGGAAGAGCTTCGCGTACTCTTGGATCAAAAAGAAACGTTGCCGGGATAACAGATTCTACAATGGGATAAGCGTAACTCCTTTTGAAAGCGCAATTGACTTACCGCGAGTGACATTGGATGTGGTTGTCTCAGGCAGGGCTGCAGAAGGGCCACTCGAGCTCCCAGATGGGCCTGCAGAGGGGCCACTCGAGCTCTCAGATGGGCCTGCAGAGGGGCCACTCGAGCTCTCAGATGGGCCTGCAGATGGGTCTGCAGAAGGACCACTCGAGCTCTCAGCGTCCTGAAGAAGAATCGCAAGCTCTACGTCCAAATCGTCAGACGAGGCGCACCATGCTGCTCGATGTCGGTAATCCGCCGAAGTTTGAGGATTATTGAAAAGTGCAACATCGGCGTCTGTAGGCTGCCATGCTGGGGTTGCGCTCGAAGGTAATGGGGCAGACGACGCCCCTGCAAACCTCCCAGCATCGGCAAGCAGTTCATCGGACAGCGATATGTCCGATATCTTGCCTTCCCTTGTCACGAGAGGGTAAATATTGCCTTTATCGCTGGAAATCGAGCTCAACCTATAGTTCAGACAATTTACACAGTATCATACCGCACTCACCTGAGTAGACCAACCTCCTCCTGGCGGAATGAGACCACTCTACACCTCGGATAACCAAGCTCGACTGCCAAACGGCCCCGATAAACGCTTTTGAGTAATCCTCTGTAACCCTTGTGTCCGCCCCGAATGATCGTGACCATATGCATAATGTACGGCTCGAGCGCGGCATCGGTAAGTGGACCATCATCGGGCAATCCAGCTTTGTGCGCATCGGACTCCTCAGCGGCTGAACGTCTGGTTCTCTGCTCCTCAGAAGGACTGTGCGAGTTCTGCACCTCTTCTGGCACAGTGACGAATCGGAATGGAACGCTGTGCATCTTCATGTCATGAGTCCTCACTGTAATCTGCATGACATAATTAATGATGTTATAAAGTGATGTACGGGGAACGTACCTCTATATTCTCGTGCTCATGATGATGGACGCTAAGCACGGACACGTCCGGCTTAGAAGCCAGAACAAAACCTGTAGTTCCGCGATGACTACCTCACAGTACCTTTACTGCATCGCCTGGCTTGAAAATCCTCTCGAGACTGCCCAAGGACACAACTGTCGACTCGGCTGAATCACGACCATATAGGATTGTGGCGGTTCTATCCGTCACACTATCGATGACTCCTTCCAGGCCAGACAGTTCCCCACCTGTCACGCGAATGCAATCGCGTGGGGATAGACTGGCCATATTTGAGAGATGAATCATGTCTTCGATGGCTTCCTGCGGTATCCAGTCAGGACCAACGAATGGTTCGATATCGTCTTCGCTTGGAGCAGGAATTAGGGGACCTAGATAACGAGTCTCATATTTCAATCGCACAAGCCCGTCTCTGAACCGTTTCCCGCGGAATATGTAATCGACAGCAGTCTGCTCTCCGATCGTTTCTGAACTTGCTTTGCCTTTGCCTTTGCCTTTGCGGCTCTTCTTCTTGACGGACTCATGACCGCAATGTTCCGAAGCCGCTGCGGGATCAAACGGGCGTGCTGCAGGCCGCAATGACCTTTTGTTTCCGTACGAGACTCGCGGAACCGCCCAGACCACCGCGCCCTGCTGTACATCTTCAACGTACATGAGGTCTCCCTTGTACAGCCTCCCAAATTGGAGCCTAGTGAAAGTATGTGCTCGAATATTCGTGGACCCGATGCTAAAGGCGCTAATCCTCTCATCCGGTGGTATGTAGAGCAGTTTAATTTGACGAAGAAGATGCGTCGCCATAGAGCATGCATGTGCGACGTTGATGGGGCCCTGGGCCTCGATGTAGATACGATCTGCATGGTCGAGGTGCACTCCTCCTACGCAGAGAGAGATTGAATGTACAGCCGGGGTCTTCGCCGTACGAGCCATTGTCATCGGTGAGACGGTCCCAGTCGCTTGTGCGCCAGACGTCCCTGCAACAAAAAGGTCGCGCTGATCCGCAGCCTGCGTTTCATCCACTGGACCCGCAGCTAGTGCATCGTGCATAAGCATCAGCGCCTCAAAAGCGCGATTCCGCTGCGAAATATCCTTCAGCGAAAAATCGAAAGTGCAAGTATGTCACGCACCCTTGTTTTGACCATCCAGAGGCCAGGGTCTCCCAAACCGGGAGGAAAGCGAGTCTCCGGTACATGGTTGTCCATCGCAAGAACGCTGACATCCTCCATGCGAGCTCTACGTTGGTAGTGAGAGGCTATATCCTCTGGATTCACGTCTTCGGCATCAGATGAACTCCACAACCGATATGAGGAAAGGTCGCCCACACCGTCGTCTTCAGAACCTGTAAAGTCATGAGCATGGTTACTCGTGGCGAAAGCCACATACTCGCCTGAGATCTCCTCGTCCTCGTCCTCGTCCTCCTCGTCCCCCTCTTCCACGGCCTCCTCTGCCACGACCTCCTCCTCGTCCTCCTCTTCCACGTCATCCTTTTCTACAACCGCCTCCTCCTCCTCCTCCTCCTCCTCCTCCTCCAGGGTCTCCTCGTCGTCGTCGTCCACACCAGCCTCGATGTCGACAAACGGATTGATCGGCCTGCTCGCATACGGCATTGTGGTAGTTGTGCAAAGGGATGAGGATGAACACGTGGAGTCAAAACGCGGTTGATGAATTCAACGAACTTCCCACACAATGTCGGACTTTTTCCCCACGTGCTTCGCAGCGGGCGATTTCCGTTAGCCAGGTTTCCAACGCATAGTTTTAGAGCAGTGGTCCGTTAGCAGTCTCGAGCACTCATTGATGGCTTGCGAAACCCAGCGCTGCTCTGCCTGTAAGTGCTTGGAAATATCGAGTGCCTGCTTGCTGTTCCACGGATACTCCATCCAGAAGAGCTTCTCGTAATCGTTTGTTTCCTCGTCGACATGGGCAGCAGCACCGCCGTCCCGTTCTCCGTGCACTGGAGGCGACTTCAGCCTTTCATCCGTGACCGAGTGTGCCGGAGAACACAGTGATTCATTTCGCAACGTGACCCCACACTGCTTTGTGGCGAACGCGCCTTTCTGCACAGAAGGGCCTTCTTCCGTTGACGAGCTTCCGCGACATTCGTCATGGCTGGGCCCTGAAGCAGGAAGTTTACTCGACTGTCATCATCGTCTCATTACATCAATCCTCGAATCATCGCTAGTACAAAGTCATCGCACCTTAGGCTCCGGCACGGACCGATCCTGTGCTTTGTGTTCTCGGTAGGTGGTATAGTCAACGGGCACCCCACCGCATTGATTCGATATACAGTGGCATAGGAATCCTTGTTTTGACATGCAGTCGACGATAAAGATCGACAGAGGGCATCCTAGAAGGCAATTTTTTCGACAGACCCTTATATAAGTGCGGCAGCGATCCGCGCGTCAGCACGAGAACATTGGCAATGTAATACTATACATTTACATACCATCTAGTCCGACAACCCTAAGCCGACGCCCGTGAGTTCGGTTAAACTGGCCCCCGTTGTCCCCCGAATTGACATCCATCCTTCCTTCCATCAGAGAAGGCAGTTTCTTGCATCGTCTGCTGTAGTCCCGGATGATTGGAACGATCGCGAACATTCTGAATCATTTACATGCGTGCTAAGAAAGAGGCCATTGAAACAACGCCCGCTCAAGGTGTCTAAGATACATCCCGTCCCATACAGGTACGTTCGCGGTACAACCAAAGCGATCTATGCAGCCCCTACCTCGTCATTCTACCGCCGACTTTTTCTTTGCAGTCGCCGACTTTTTCTTTGCAGTCGCCGACTTATTCTTGAGATATACACGGAGGAAGTCAGCCGTAACCCAATTGTTTTCGTACTTCACCAAGAACGGATGATCATTGGCTGCCTATTCCACACCTCAGCAAGGAGGTGAGACATAGCCAATGCGCCTCACCAGTATGTAGACCGATTGAAGGTCTTGGGGTGACTGCTTGGAGAATGACGAATGCATCTGCAAATGCGCGTCTGCTAAACGATGCACACAATTCTGACAACAAGAAGCTGAAGGCAGGGCGCAAGATTTCAAAGGAGATATCTGACCTGTACTTGTGCATACAGCACCTCTTTCCAACGCAAAGTGTCACGGAGATTATAGCCACCACGACCGATGCGAGTGACTTCTCCGCTCGGCTTTGGAATCGTTGTTAAGGAACTGAGTAGGACCGCCATACTGATATGAAGAGGTGTGGTCTCCGAACCGAACTCGTGATGAGCGGGCGAAGGCAGTGGCGTAATCAATCATTCAGAGCTAAAACGAACACACATGGAATGAGGGAGATAGTGACGCTGAGTGCGGTAGGAACGGCGAGAGGGAGGCATGATGACTAAATGGAGCTTGTGTGATTGAGACACTTGGCCGCTTGAGAAAGATGGTTTCATTGCAAGTTTATATAGTGCCAGACAAGCGTGCTGAGGCTCTACGGCATTATCGAGAAGCTTGTGGCGGAGGGTGGCATTCGCGCGATAGAGTGATAGCTAGCGATGCGTAGCCTCACGTGGGTGGCCAGGATAATGGAAACAATGACGGCCAAGGAGCGACAGACAATAGACATCAGAGAGCAGAAGTGCAGGCATGACGAGTAGCCGGACCTGACGGCGGTGAAAACTGTGGGCGTGAACAATTAGTGTCAATGATGCGAGGATAGCGGTCAGCCTACCTCACGGCGAGCATACGTGACGAGCGGAGACGAGGAGCCGCTACTCTGAATCACCGGAGATGCAAGCGAGGGACAATGGGCGTAGATAGCGATGCGTGTTGGCGATCCGGAAGGCTTGGAGGGCCAGGCTGCGGTGCTCAGTGTTCAAGTTGTTTTCGGGAAAGGATGGACGGATGTACTCATGCCTGTAAACCCCCTCACGGCTGAGTGCGGCGAGTGCTGCTGTGTCGGGGCTAGCGAACTTCAGAGAGCAGAAGTGCAGGCACGACGAGTAGCCGGACCTGACGGCAGTGAAAACTGTGGGCGTGAACAATTAGTGTCGATGATGGTGAGCCGCGGGGCTGCGCACGTGAACAATCAGCGTCGAGGATGCGAGGATAGCGGTCAGCCTACCTCGCGACGAGCGGAGATGAGGAGCCGCTACTCTGAATCACCGGAGATGCAAGTGAGGGACAATGGGCGTAGATAGCGATGCATGTTGGCGATCCGGAAGGCTTGGAGGGCCGGGCTGCGGTGCTCAGTGTTCAAGTTGTTTTCGGGAAAGGATGGACGGACGTACTCATGCCTGTAAACCCCCTCACGGCCGACTTGTGCGGCGAGTCCTGGCTGTGTCGGGGCTCATGAGCATTGTATGGCGAGTGGCATCGGTGATTGCAGTGGCGTCGGTGATTGCAGTGCTCGCTGCCTTCTCGCTCGTTGGAGGGACGGCAGACGACGTCTGCACGTCGTACGGCATGTGGCTGTCTCCGGACGTTGATCGTGCTCGCTGTCTCGCTCATTTGAGGGGTGGCGGGCGGAGGCGTCCGCGCGTCGTTATTCAACCATCTCAGTTATCCGATCTCAGTTATTCGACCATCTAATGCAGTTCCCTCAGCCTCCGCTTGCTGACATCGCATGTCCCAACCGACACCGACGACGCCAACGGCGCCGACGATGCAGTGAACTCAATGGACAGCCCGCCACCCACCTAAGTGGGCGGCGGCCACCACGAGCGCAGATGGGAGAGCGAAAAGAAGAAACGTCACGCGTCGTGGGTATATTTGAACGGCAGAGTTTAGGGCAGGTGCACATTTGAGTGGCGTGAGAACTA